CATATGAACAGCAAACCAGGAAACATTATTCTCGTCGATATGTTCAAGGCAACCTACAAATCAGAAAGCAATCATTGCTAGGAAAACACAATCGAATACAGAAAAGAAAACTTTGCATATCAGATCATATATGTCCAGTTTATGGTACACCTTATTCCTTGAATGCATGCAGAAAATTTTCAGGATTGGATATGTCAAAACGAATTTTTGAAAAGTAAAGGCATATGTTTCAAGTGTTGTGCGACAAGCAATCATTTGATGAAAGACTGCAAACAAAATGTGAAATGTCAACATTGCCAAAGTTTAAAACACTCAACTGTTATGCACATTGAGAGAAGGGAACAAATTGAAGGGTACAAGAAAAGGACAACAAACAACAGTATTGGACACCAAAGTAATCATGGCGGGGAGAGTACAACGGATAAAAATTAAGATGTTGTAACCAAATGCACATCTGTATGTGATTTTACTGGTCGTTCATGTTCTTAAACTGTTCTTGTAAAGGTTTTCCATAGCAACAAACCTAAAAACGCTCTCACTACATAACCAATTTTATTTGCTAATTGAAAATTAAGCTGAATAAAATAATTTAAGACAGCAGAGAAGATAATTCTGTTTTAATTGTTTATTACTAAGACTTAAATAAAGAGTGAGCTATTTATACTATAAATTTATGATGTCTCTAGTCTGGTCAAAGGGTCAGAGTGTCCTACTTAATCAAACGATAAATTGTTGAAATTAGATAACATGTTTTCACGTGCAGAGAAATTTCACTTATGACCAGTGCATGATTGGATTACATCTTTATTATTGGTCACTGATCTTTCGGGGTCAGCACGAGTTCACGTGTAAGTGCGTTGTGGTCTCTTCCTTTTATCATCAGCATTTGATGTGTTAACTTGTGATTCTTATCAAACAATTTGTTAAATTTTTTTTAATTTTATGGATAATTTTGGACTGGAGTGATTTCCTTTTAGCAATTTGAGGTAAAATCGAACTCTACTTTTATTTTTAAGCTATTTTATGCTTACATTCTGAACAAACGTACAGTTAATTTTTTACCATTCTTCCATTCGGATAGATCTCACGATTTTGATTTATTAATTAATTTTGGTGTTGGTGGCGACACTGTGCGTTTGCGATCAAAATGTAATTATTTACCATACTTATAAAAAATGATAGTTGATGATTAACCCGATGTTGTAATTTTATAAGTTACTGAATCCTTGATAGCATCCTAATGTTTGCAGAACGTATATCCGCCTTGAGTATCTGTAGGAGACATGGTTCATTTAAATTTAACTACAAATACAAAAATTTTTGCATAACGATAATAATACCATACATGATAGAATGCAAAGTTACACACTTATATACGATGTTATTCACGATTCCATACATTTAAACACTCTCATTTGAAAGAGCAAGACAGTTTAAGTTTTAAGGCTATGTGCTATTATTTATTGGGCTACAAACCCATTTGCCTTACTTGTTTGGGTAAGGTGGACGATATTTCAAATTGTGCAGAGAGCTTGGTTGCTTGTACTTATGACCTCTATGTATTTCCTTTTGCAATTATGTTTTATTTAGTGTTCATTGTTTTATGCTATGTCACGAAACTCATGCTACTTTCGTAAATCTCGTCACGGTGGTTGGTTTGGAGCTTATAATTTTGCAAGTTAGCCTAATCGCTATAATTGTTAGTATTTTAATTTATGCAGGTGTACCTTGTTTGCTTAATGTTAACGGTAAAAAAAAGGATATGTCTCTTACCTATATCGCAACCCAATGCTTATTTATTACGAACCAATTTACCTGTCTTTGCCTGTTTGGGTAATGTGGACGATATTTGAATTTTTGCAGAGGGCGAGGTTGCTTGTACTTATGCCCTCTGTGTATTGTTTTTGCAGAGGTCTAGTAGCTTGGCCTATGACCTCTGTGTATTTACTTTTGCAAATATGTTATTATGTAGTAGGTATTGTTTTATGCTTCGTCATGAAACTCATGCTACTTTTGCAGAGGTCGTAGTAGCTTGGTCTATGGCCTCTGTGTATTTGCTTTTGTAAATATGTTAGTATGTAGTGGGTATTGTTTTATGCTTCGTCAGGAAACTCATGCTACTTTTTTTTGCAGAGGTCGTAGTAGCTTGGTCTATGATCTCTGTATTGTTTTATGCTTCGTCATGAAACTCATGCTACTTTTAATTATTATTTCGTCATGGTGATTGGTTTGGAATAAATTATTTTTGTAATCAATCTTTTTGCTACATACAAAATTGCCAGTATTTTGAGACATGTAGCTAGATTCACATGTTTGTCAGTTTATAATACATGTTTTTAATGTATTATTTTATTATAATTATGTTTACTAGTATAATTCATATACATGATATAGTTTGGGTTGCGATGAACGTAATTGATAATTTTTATGCCAATACTTATGCATTGTAAGGTCGTTTGCTTTTACTTTATACTAGATTTATTATTAAAAATAACAATGGACAAGACATACTTATAATATTTTAAAGTTCATACTCTTCATTTAATACATAATATATAAAAAATCATGTCTGTTTAATGGTTGATTATTGAAGAAGAAGAAACTATGATAATTAAATCATCGCATACTATTCCTTAACATGCGTTATGTTTGTGGTCCTAGAGTAAGATCAAGTTTGTTTTTTAATGAGAATTTAAGTTTTTCCATTCTTTTACATTCTAGTTTTGTTTATTTCATGCTTTAACTATGGACGAAGAGCACTGAGTCTGGCATTGATCTACGAAAGAACTTTTTCCCATTGAAGGAAATGTGCAATAAAGCGTGATATCAACAACTTACATATACTTTCATATATCAGCGGTATGCCATAGTTCCGATAATACAAACATACGAATGTTGATGGGTTGCTGTTTCACTGATATTACTTAATGACACATACCTAATTTCGAGATTAGAATTTTGATCCAGACGTGCGAGTCATATCAACAAGAATCATTGACTTACCAAAGCCTACTTTGACTGTTTTATAAATACAAATTTACAAAATACGACTTCGATCAGCATTTGGATACACAACTGGACCCTAGTTCCAATGAAAGTCCAAAGCACCAATTGCTATTATTCCACCATCTCTGTAAAGTTTGCTATGTCGTTAATTGTCTTGGACTCTTATAACTATACAACACTTAGTTTTAGAAGAAGGGAAAAACAAAGTCTTCTGCTGCAGTTCATGGATGGAATTGTCCTATCCGTGATTCAAGGATTGAAGTCAAATGCGTTTATGGAATTTTACAGCATAAAAAGAATTAAGTTAGTAACAGAACTTTATGCTTCAGCTGTTTCGGGTCAGTATTGCCTGACAAAACGTTTATGATCTTTATTTCATACATTTACAACTATCTTGTTTTGGGTCAGCATTGCCTGCCAAAACGTTTTATGATCTTTATTTCATACAATTACAACTGTCTTGTTTTGGGTCAGCATTGCCTGACAAAACGTTTACTAGTATATGATCTTTAGTAAAAAAATGCTATGCTTCTGTTTTGGGTCAGTATTGCCTGCCAAAACGTTTATGCTCTTTATTCCATACAACTACAACTATTTTGTTTTGGGTCAGCATTGCCTGCCAAAACGGTTTATATGATTTTTAGTAATAAAATGCTATGCTTCTGTTTTGGGTCAGCATTGCCTGCCAAAACGTTTACTAGTATATGATCTTCAGTAATAAAATGCTATGCTTGTTTTGGGTCAGTATTGCCAGCCAAAACGTTTATGCTCTTTATTTCATACGATTGGGGTCTATATTGCCTGCCCTCCTGTCGATGCTGTCTTTACACATTATTCAGACTGTCAATGTGGACATTTGAAAGGCTATCATTATATTGTTTTTTAAATTTTATGGCTCGGTTTAACCTCCTGTATGTATACATGAATTGTTCGTAAATCATGTTATGGTTTTTAATGTTGCCTATTTAATTCAAATTCGTAATTATTCAAATTATATATATATATATATATATATAAAAGGACTTTATGGTTTATCCCAATGATGTACTAAATGCTATGGTCTTTAGAGGTAAACTCATCACAAACTAAAGATTTTATATTTAACTAAAATGGTTATTAATTTAATGGGTTCATTCTCTTTCGAAAAAAAATTTAGAGTATGTGTCATAAGTTATAAATATTTACTCGGTTAAAATTTACATCATTTAAATTTCATCATGTTTATCGCAAGGCAAATAAAAATTATACGAAAAATCACTAAAAGCTGGAATATTATTTCAAAGATATTTTTCATTTTACAACTTTATTACGACCTTATACAATATAAACCTTTTAAAATATATTGCATTGGAATATCAGTATGTTCAGAATAAGTTCTGTAGCATGCCAGGAAGAAAATAAATATGAATTTATTTGATGTATAGCAATATATTTATTTTATATATTTATTTTCATTATTATTATTTTTTTTTCAATAGAAAAATCAAATTCCCGATGTATATTAAGTATATTTGAAGTGTAAATTAAAAGTCCCCAAGCTTATCAGTGCTGGATAAGTAAGTTTGGTGGATTCCCGTTATTTTTATAATGGTGTTATCGATATAAATTATTACTATTAATATTGAATGGTGGTATTCACCAGTGATTAAATTTCTAAAAAGCTGTATATTCAATATTATGACTAAAGCTTAACTTTTTTTAACCGAATCACGAGTTACGCAAAATATTTCTAAAATCTCATATCAATAATAACAAAAATAACTGTGAGTTAAAAAGGTCTACATTAGATATTTATTTACAAATTTCAATTTAAAAACTCTTTCCTTAAGAAATTTAATAAATCTATGATCTTTATACAATTTTGATTGAAAAATGTCAAGTATAGTATGAGAATAAGTTGCTCATGATCCCATATAGAAATAGTCAGATATAAAACTTCGTATTTAGAAAGGATCCAGGGCTTCGTAAAAATGTACTTCTATTTTGTTTGAAGATTTAAGATTAAAGATAAAGTTTCGGTTAATTAATGAACTAATTGTCCGTACTAAAATATTTAGCGGATACTATTCTTAAATGTCTAGATGTAAGACGATTTATGAATTCTGAAACATATACTTAACGACGATTATATTGTAATTTTATTGCTGTGGTCCTGACCGGAATAAGATTTACACCTTTAATCAATTTTATCAGTAAGAGATAATTTAAAAGTAATATCTCGGTATATGATCATATGAACTTTTAATATTTCTGCTCAATGTGGAAACGTTTTACAAAAATAAAGTGTTATTTTTTGGTGTACATGTATGTGAATGTCATGCTCGTAAATTTTTCAAGTTATATATAAATTGTATTCACGTCGCCAGAGTCCTCGGGTGGGGGATCCACTCTTTCAGCCTTAGAGTGGCTTTGGGATGCACTCTTTCAGCTTAAGATCGGATTTGTGGCAGATTTTTCTCCCCACATTTGCTATTCTTTGTCATTTATTCAATTGATATGATATTAGTTGATGTAATTTCGTATTAATTATGTATTATTATTTCATATTAAATATGAACTTTTATGTCAAATGTTTTATTTGCAAAATGTATTTTTTGCATTTTATGATTTTGAATAAATGACCTTTTTTCGTCAGTTTAGTTTTTATATCATATAGCAAATCAAGCTCTGACTCTGGCCTGTGTATACATTGTATGTTTATGGTATCTAGCTGTCTGTCTTAAAACCAATTTTATTTGCTAATTAAAAATCAAGCTGAATAGAATTATTTAAGACAGCAGAGAAGATAAATCTGTTTTAATTGTTTATTACTAAGACTTAAATAAAGAGTGAGCTATTTATACTGTAAATTTATGATGTCTCTAGTCTGGTCAAAGGGTCAGAGTGTCCTACTTAATCAAACGATAAATTGTTGAAATTAGATAACATGTTTTCACGTGCAGAGAAATTTCACTTATGACCAGTGCATGATTGGATTACATCTTTCTTATTGGTCACTGATCTTTCGGGGTCAGCACGAGTTCACGTGTAAGTGCGTTGTGGTCACTTCCTTTTATCATCAGCATTTGATGTGTTAACTTGTGATTCTTATCAAACAATTTGTTAAAAATTCCCACCCACATACCTCCCTTAATTTTAACTTTTGAAGTAGATATGTATATATGTTTATTTGTGGGGCAGATTTTTCTCCCAACCTTTGCTATTCTTTGTCATTTTTTCAATTGATATGTTATTAGTTGATGTAATTTCGTATTAATTATGTATTATTATTTCATATTAAATATGAACTTTTATGTCAAATGTTTTGTTTGCAAAATGTATTTTTTGCATTTTATGTTTTGAATAAATGACCTTTTTTCGTCAGTTTAGTTTTTATATCATATAGCAAATCAAGCTCCGACTCTGGCCTGTGTATACATTGTATGTTTATGGTATCTAGCTGTCTGTCTTAAATGCTATTTTGGATGAGCACATTAACAAAACTTTGGCTTGTTCTGAACTCATGGACCAATTAGGTGTAGACAGTATATATACAGTACAACCTGGGACATCCTCTTAATTATGTCCAACCTCTTGTATGGTCAACATCAAATGGTGACCATTTATTGGGGTATTCAATCTTGAGATGTTGGCCATTTATTGGGGTCATAAAACATAGGTTGATATTTTATCTAATTATGTTACCTGTTGAAATCAATCAGGGTTGAAGCTTTCAGATTGTATGTTTCATTAAAATTTACCTGTACAGGTAACTCAGGTTTCTTTTAAAATTGACATTTTACCTTTTTTTTTAAATGTAGAATAACATGTTGTTTTAGACTTTATTAATTTATATTATTTGTTGATTTTTCTGTCTTTAAATTACTTATTTTTATTTTATTTCAATGTATTTATTTTTTTTTCAATCATTTTTGTATTTTTTTTCTTATTCTTTTAATTTCTTCTTGGTAATAATCTTGAGCAGAAATGAAAAAAAATTAAAGATAAGTTATTGACTAGCATTTGAAAACAAAACAGAGTATCCTTTAAATAATTATTTTTTAAGTAATAAAAAAGTTATTGTACATGATGTACATTGTATTCAATTGTTCGTTTAAATTATGAAATGAATTGTTATTAATTATAACTTATAATCATGCAAATGATATGTTTAAAGGAACCATGAAGCAACAACCCTGTTTCTTAACAAATTAAAATGATCAATATCAATCCTTTTACAACAAATTTTGATAACGAAGTCGTACGATCTATTATTATTCAGGAAAACTACAAATATCATTATGGTTTGATGAAAAAACTATTTTTGTTGATCATTATTTTTTTCAAATCTCAAAACAGGAGTTGTGCATGAAGAATCACTTTTCCAAATCCCCATCTAGTATCAAATTTTGAAAAATGCTCATTAAAAGTTCTAATCATAATGACAAATGTTCTTATCTCTCATAATAAAGTGAATCTTATGAAAAGAGTTATTTAAAGAAAAAATTGTCTTGCTTTTTGAAACAATTGTAAACTTATCAAATATGTTATCCTCAGTTTTGCTAATTTCTGTCAGTAAACAGCCAAAACTTGTCTCCAGAAATCTGTAGATTGTGACATTTTTATGGACTATTAATTAAATCACTTTTTGTTCTGTGTATTATATTGTCGAAACTGCTGGACTGGCATGATACATATTCTTGGCATATATTTGCCAAGAATATTTCACTCAACCCAGGCCTTTTAGATAAAGTTAATAATTGCAGGGACTTGAATGCATTACTCTTTAAAGCCCTTGATTAAAAATGAATTTACAGAAAAATATAAAGATATTTTTGAAAATAGAATAAAAACTTATGATGATGATGATGAAAACTTAACTGTAAACTCAAATACTTCAGTAAGTAAAGAATTAGTGGTCATAATTTAGAAATAGGAATTAGTGGAAAATATAAAATTCCTAGAAAGGATAGAATGTGTAAACTGTGTCACTTGCTGGACGATGAAGAACACTTCCTCCTTGATTGTAAAATTAACAAAACAACTTACAGATAATCTATTTGAAAATTGGTTACCTTTTTATAATAATGTTTCTTACCCATGTTACCCAAGGACAAAAAGTAAAAAAAATGCTAAACCTCTATAACATCGAACGTGTTTAAAATATTGGCTCCTTTATAAAATAGTCATTAGAACTAAGGGCAGAAACCTAATATTTTTTTCCATGTGTTTAAAACTGTTATTTCTTTGCAAATTATAATGTTTGTTTTTGTTTTTTTTGTCACAAATTAACTAATTATAATATGTTTATATGACAATAAAAATATTATTAAATTTTGAATTTGAATAAATCCTAAAGATATTCTTAAACATTTGTTAAACAATGTTGAATGAAGATCAGTCTCTCTAAGAATAAACAATTTTGATTTTAGAAAATTAATTTGAGAAACACCATTTCAATAGAAAAAGGCAGGCATTGTGAAAGTTTGCATTATATTAGAAGATGATATTCATTTATTCTTCACTAATAAAAAATAACATGTAAAAAATAACTTAAATTGATAAAATTATTTAAAAGGTATAACATCAAAACAAACAGTCATGAGACAATTTTTTCAAACAAATGTTATTAAGCTATATGTTCAACAAGTTTTTTATTTCATTTTATTTTTGAATTTTCTTGTCATAATCACAGTAATTAAATTTGACATGCACATATATTGTACCTGAGACACTTGACCTGTAAGTTATATAATTTTAACACTTCAATGCAGTCATGATTTCCCTTTAGCCTTGACTAGTTTTTGATTTATACCTTGTGTATTAATTAAGCAACAGGGGGTATAATGATGGACATATAGGGCCATCATGGTGGACATAGTTTGTATGGCCACCATTAATAAGATAAAGTCACAGGTAGTACTGTACGTCTACTGGATATCGACTCTCATCTTGTGCCAGCATTGTAAACATTCAACTCGATTCCAAATGAGGCTTCCGAAATCCTAACACCAGAAATGGCAAAACTAAATTTGCATCTGAACTCCATTGCGGATAAAATGTCTCCATTGTTCCCATCTGATAAAATGCAACTCTCACTAAACGTGATTTCTTTGATGCACACCATGTTCAGGAACAAATAACAGGACCACAAGGCACACCGTTTGCCCAGAAACTAAGTTTAGGGTGTGTTATAGTAGGAGAAGTTTGCATTGACAAGTTTCATAAGACTGATACTAGTGTGAACGTTCTTAAAACAAATTTACTTGTCGATGGGAGAACAACTAGTTGATCCGTACAATTCAAAGCTACGTGTATGTGAACAGCAGGTAGAATATTTGTTTTCGGAAATTCGTTGTTTGCTAAAACTCAAAGGGATGATGTGGTTGGGACCTCATACAAGGATAGGAAATGTTTGTCAATTATGGACTCAGAATTAACAAAGGACGATAAAGGTGCATGGGTAGCTCCTCTACCATTTAAAACTCCAAGACCAATCTTACCAGACAACAGAGCACAGGCTCTTCAGAGAGCTCGTCAATTGGAGTCAAGTTAACATAGAAAACCAGAGAAACTGAAACACTTTTTGACATTCATGGAGAAAGTTATAACAACGATGCTGATGAGAAAGCACCTTCCATTGAAGATGAAGAGGGAACGATGGCACTTCGTAATTAATCTGTTCCTTACCCAATCCTGCATTCTGGCAATTAGTCTCCAATGTAACAATAACTTTTTTATTATTGTTACATTTCAATGTAACCGTAGCCAGTGCCTAAATTATATCGGAAAAATTTATATTTGACAACGTCAGTTGTTAATGTGAATGGTGGACATTTACAAGCTTTCTATGCTGATCATTTACACTTGTTTATCAACGAGCTAGATAAGATTGGTAATTTTTATAATTTGAACAAGATAATGATTGGCATGTTACATATTTTTTTTATTCTGTTTTTGTAATTCCGGAACTTTGGAACACAACGGAATAAGTTAATTTTACTATTTTATACTAGTTTTAAAGGGACTAAGCTTTAGCATTGTTTTCTTGATGATTATTATGTGTGTTTTTGATACAAACACAACCACTTGTCGTCCGATATTGGCGATATTGTCTTCAGTCAGCTGTTCAATATTATTATTATAAGAACTATTTTTTTTCAAAACAACATGTTTGATATCATCTACTTATTTTTACTAATTTATCGCACCTGAAGAATAACGACAGTGAGTAAATAACCATATTGATACATTGAAGAATCATAAATAATATAAAAAAGAATGTAGAATCGGGTGAAACACAATAATGGGGACATTTACAATTGGTCTTTGTTATGTAAGCTCTACGGCTAACTTAAATACATTTGGATGCCAGTTTTCTGTTTTTTAATATTTGACATTGAATGTTTTAACCTCATTCAAAATTTTAAGATTCTTTCTTGAATAGTTTTCAAACACCAGTGAGATTAGTAGTCCAAAAATGGTCATTTTCAGCGTTATGCGGTTGCGCTTCAATTTTACCTTATTTTTATCATTAAAATCTTTTAAAAGTAAGTGTAATGATCATTTCTTTTTTTTTTATCTCTTTTTTTTTAAATGATATATATTTTTTTTTGAATTTTACATTTGTTAGAGAAACATAAAGTACGATACTTTATCCTGGCCTCGTTAACGTTAGTACATAGCATATCAATGGTAAGGTTAGTACTTGTTAGTGCCCAATATATATAATAATTTAGCTAATAATAATATGCAACTGAATAAAAAGAAGATAATATGATATATTATAAGTTCTAGTTCAAGAAGATGATTTAATTTTTTCTGCAACCAAATTGTGGAAGTTTTCACATTTGCCTTCTTTATTTATCAATATTTCGTAATGTTGAAGAAATTACTTTTTAAAAATTTCAAACACATTAACTTGTTTTGGTTTTTGCTCGGATATATAATATCCTTTGTATACAGTAATTAATATAATTGTTAGTAATTCATTAATGCTGTAATAATTTGTATCGTTTATCTTGTATCCATACAAAACTGACCCAAGTGATATTATATGATGTCCTTTTTTAAGTTTATCGAGTAATAGTTTTATTTGATCCCAAAATGATTTTAGAAATTTGCATGTCAAAACATAATGTTCATAATCTTCGATGACATTACATATGTTACATAACGGAGTTTTAGTTATTTTCCAAGAGAAAAGTAATTGTTTGGTTGGTAAAATGTAATGCAGAAATTTCAATCTTAACATTTTCAATTTATTGTCGTGTATATAGTTAAAGATAAAGTACAGCATTTGTTGTCTTTTGCTTGTGTTGTTTTCTAAATGATAATTTCTCATGTTTTCATTTACAGATTATTAAATGGCGATTAAAATGATTCCAACATTACAAAAATCTGAGCTAATTAAAAAATTTAACATGCAGAATTGTAAAAGTGGTGCTCCGTTATACATTTGTCAATTTATTAAG